CACTCCAGGCTGAGTCCCAGGGCATTCACACAGGTCAGGGGGATGAGGGGCAAGGAGGGGAGGGGGGCCATCTCCTCCAAGAGCCCCTTGGAGTCATTCCCAGCCCTCTGAGGCATAATGGCAGCACCCTGAAACCTGTAACCCCCAACCCCATCAGTGCAGAACCCCCTCTGAGAGGCGAAGTGGGGAGGTGGGGGAGCCCAGGGAGCCGTGGTTTACATGGAATCCCCCGTGCCGGGCACACCGTGAGTGAGGGTTCAATAAAGCGCCCGTCTGGATTAACCGCAGAGGTAGAGCCCTTTGCTAGGTCCTGGGACCCAGCAGCTTTGCCCAGAGTTCCCAGGTGGGCCCTAGTCTCTGCTCCTCTCCTCCTCCTTTGGAATTTCCCCCGAACTGGGCTCTACCAGGATTTGCGGGGAGGCCCTTTGAATAGCTGGAATGTCCGATGGAATCCCACGTGCAAAACGTAGATTTTCCTAGCCATAAATGCCTGGTCGGGCCCAGAGGAGGGCCAAGCTCGCGTGCAGGTCTCAGCCGGAGCCCCTCCTACCCACCCACCCCACTCCCCGCCCACCCGGTTTTCCTCCAGGGCCGCCGCCCACGTTTGCCCCTTGGGAGTGCTATGCAAAAAAGATGCAAAACAGGCCGAGACAGCCGTAGGGATTGGCTGACGCGGGAGACTTCGTCCGTCCAATCCGGGGTCTCCGGCGGCCTAGGCTCCCCCGCACAGGGCCTGGTCCCGCCTATAAATCAGCTCCGTCAGCGTTAATGGCTCCTGACTAATTGCCTGGACTCGGGCTCCGGGCTTGGGTCGCCCGCATTAAAATTCAATCAGGCCCAGCGCTGAGCTATTAAATATTCATTGGGAGAGCTTCCCGAAACCAGGTTGGGGGATGGGGATGGATTGGGTTGGAGGGACTACCTGAATCCCCGGCTTCAGCGGAGCCCCGCCCCACCTTGACTCCTCCCCAACACTCTCATCTGCAACTGCTGCCTGATTTCCATTCTGCTGGGCCTGATTTCTCTCTGGAAGTCCCTGAGCCCTCTCCACAGACACTTGGGAGATTGAGCTGCCCTGCAGGCGTGTGGTGCTAAATTATGACCAGGGCTGCCCTAGTCTTCTGCCCTGCACCCCCTCCGTGCCTGGTGGCCTGGCTCCACAGACCTCTTACCCAGTGCCCACGTGGGCCCCTAATCAATGCCGGAATGGAAGAGCTCCAAGGCAGAGATGGTTTCATCCTCAAGAGAGGCCCCTAGGTGCCTGGCCTGGTCTTTGCCAGGGGCTTTGGCGGCATTACACTGGTCATCTTCAGCAGGCTTGAGAGAGCTTCAGGCTGGGCAGTATGGGGTCTGTGCTGGAAGGGAGGAGGGGGGCTCTGTGCGGCCCTCCTCTCCTCTCCCCTTCCCCCAGGAATGCAGTCTGTCCAAGCTCCTGGGCCCCTGGCCTGATGCTGAGCAGGCTGCCTGGAAGTTCTCAAGGAGGGTACCCAGGGCGAGGGGGCTGGGCCCAAGGGCCTGGAGGGGGCCACTGGCAGTGTCTGGGACTTAAGCAGGAAGTATACACCCTGCCCCCCATTCATACACACTGTAGTTGCAGGGTCATATGAAGAGGGTTTGGCAGGTGTGAAGACAGCCATGGCCCGGAGGCTGGAGTGAGCCACTCAGATAAGGACTGGGCCCTCCATATTGTATTGAGACATCTTGTAACACAGCTCCATCCCCGGGCCACGGGCTGTTTGAAGGAGGGGAAGACGAAACACCAGGAAATATGTTAGGAGAGACCTGTTCCCCTCCCATTTTTACAGCAAATCTTCAGGAGCGAACCACCTGCTCATGGGGCTCTTCCCCTGCCCTTTGGACTGCTTCCTGCTGCTGGTGCCTGAGGTCCTGCAGGAAATTAACCCTGCAGGGTATGGAGGCGGCTCAGACTGTCAGAGCCACAGAGCACCCTACAGACACTGCTGTGGAAGGTTAGAGGCTGAGGGTGCCAGTTTCTGCAAAGCCAGAAGCAGCTCAGGGCTCTAGGAGCAGTGTGAAGTACGGGGGTCCTAACTACGGAGATACTGGAAGGGACTTCTTGTTCTGCTATTCTGAGAGCCTCAAGTGTTGCAGAATTCTTGTCTGAAAACCCCTACTCCCTCAGAGCTTAGGTGCTCTCCTAGCAAGAGATGGGGGACCCAGGCTGGCCCCAGAGCTGGGTACAGGGCAGAACGTGTCTGGCAGCAATTAGGAGGGGAGCTGGGCTGGGAGGCCTCAGACTTCAGCGGGTCAGGACTGACCTGAGCCAAGTGTCCAATTCCAAAGCCAAACGTCACAGGCAATCCGGGATTCCAGCTCCCTCCACGTGTGGTTCCCATTAGGGCTGGCTGGGGTCTTCCTGAAGGCCAGGCGGATTCCTGAGCCCCTCCCCCAACACGGCCCCTCCCTCTTCAGGCTGTTTGGAATGTCCTACCCAGTGCTTCAGGGTGGCCTGCCACGGTGCAACCTTGGGGATTTTCAGGGGCATCCCACTCCAAATAGGTGTCCCCACCCACTAGCTGATGTTTTTGCAATCTCTTAAAGGGGACAAAGGGATAGGAGACGTAAACCCTTAACTCCCCCTGGAAGGGCTAATCCTTGAAGACCCCTACACTGTGTCTGGGGGCCTTCCCTCCTCTCCAGGTCAGCCGCCTTTGTTCAGGCCTCGGCCCCTTTGGTCCAGACACTTGCAACTAACTGTCCCACTTACCAGGCTATTCCTCCATACTGCCCCCGAGTGGGCATCCGAAACACCCAAGCCTGTGACTCAGATCATTTCCCTCCTGACAAAGCTACTCTGCAGCACTTGCACACAGATAGATATTCGTGTTATGTGTATCCTGGACACACACACCGTTTTAGAGTTAAAAAAAAAGTCAACATTTAAAAACCTGGAGGCAGCACATAAAAATCGACATTTCTAATTTTTCCTGCAAATACCTGACGACACGAAGCTAACAAGCCAGCATGACAATAACTGGCTGGAGCTGAGGAACAACCGTGGCCTTCCGAAGGGGTCCCTGGGGCTTCCATGTGCACCATAGTCCCCACTGGATGATTCAATGGCCTTTTATCAGTGGGCTGGCACTGACCTTTTTATCTCACTTCCTGTCAGCTTCGCTCCTTTTAGCCATTTATGTTCCTATCTGTCTCTCTCAGTGCAGACACTTCAACTTGCTACAACAAACCCAAGTCTAAATCCCTTGGCCTAGGGTATATGTCATTTCAGCCACCCTTCACACCCCGTCCCTCCTGTCCCCGTCAACTCCTCCCATCCAGTACTCTTGGTCCAAGCCCGTCGAACTTCTCACTCTTCCCCAGACGCAGGCCGGACTTTCACACCCCCAAGTCTTTGCGCATGCTCTTCCTTCGGCCTGGAACACCACATCTCTTCTGTCCCTGGTGAACTTCTGTTGCTCCTTCAAGCCCCACCCCAGAAGCCACTGACTCTGTAGCATCATCCCGAGCCCTCCCAAAGGCAGTACCCTGGGTTGTCTGATGGTTCCTGTGATTCCAAAATGTCTCATGCTGCTCTCATGTAGTGAGAGCCTTTCCAGGGCTGGGAGTAGGCCACTTGGCATCGCCGGGGCTCACCTGGGTGGACGAATGGGCCATCAGGTGGGTGGTGGGAATGTCTGGGGGTGGAGGAGTTGCATCTCAGCCCCTCTGGAGCTGGCCTTTGTGGCTAAGAGCTTTGTTAGAGTTGGCAAGGTTGGAGGAGGGGAATGCAGCAGGCATTTTGCCAAGACATAGCTGAGGTCTTGCGGCCCTGGCAGGAAGGAGGCCTCACCTCATTCACGATCACCTGTGCTTCTGCTCTTGGGGGACTGTTTAGACCCCTGGGTGTGTGTGAAGATGTGTAAGTGTTCAGGTAAGTGGGTCCGGGCACCCAGGCAGTGGGGTACTACTCTCCTCTGCCCTGTGAGCACCCCCAGTGCCCCCAGTGCTATCAGTGCTGGATAAAGAGGTCAAACAGACAACATCTTCACCTCCTGAAGCTGATGTTGCAGAAACCCCCGGAGATGGGCTTGAAACCAGCGGGGCTGCTCCCTCCATCTGTTCCCTGGTCTCCTGTCCCAGGCCCACCCCCCTTCCTGCCTCTTCAGGGTTCCCAGCTGCCACAACCCCTTCCACAGAGCCCACTCCCCCTGCCCCAGGAGCTCTGCCAGGCCAGGCACAGCCGCCCCCCACCCCCCCACCCCCGATCTCCCCAGGACTAGCAACTGGCCCTCTGTGGAATCACCTGAGAGGTAGGTACTGGGGATCCTGTTTTTATGGACAAGGAAATAAACTCTGAGGCTCAAAGGAACGTACTCGAGATTCCCCGAGTGAGTAGTAACTGGGAGGAATTTCAGCCCAGCCCCTTGTGTCTGAGGGCCAAGTTCTGGTCCCGGCAGCCCCGCGGGCTCCAGGCTCCGGCCTTGGGTCCCCCCGCCTCCCCGCCCACAGTCACAGAGCCGTCGGGTGCAGACAGAGATCGATGCGTCAATGTCCCACCGCCGGCGTTAACCACCGACCGGGGCGGACGTCGCGTGTGTGAGCTGAGACGGGCGGGCCCCCAGGACCCTTCGGGGTTCCCTACCCCGCGACGGGCAGAACCCGAACGCTGGGATTCGGTGTCTGCCAAAGGGTGTGCCTCCAGCTCGGGGCCCCTCAGCCCCTGCCTGAGAGAGGCGGCGGCGCGCTCTCGGGGGGGGCCCCCCAGCACTCGCCCCCCGGGGGGCTCGCGACGCACTCCGAGCTCTCGCCCCCCGGGGGCCGGGCGCGCGCGTCAGAGAGGCGTGCGGCGCGCGCCTCGGCCCCTCCCCCAGGCGGGGGGCGGGGCAGGGGAGGGAGCAGATGGCAGCAATTACGGCTCGGGCCTCCCCCGCCCGTAGCCCGAGGCCGGAAGACCGGCTGCGTGCGCTTTCCCGGGCGGGAGGGGCGGCGGCCTCCGCGGCCAGCGAGCCGGCGGGGGCGGGGCGGGGGCGCCGGGCCCGGGAGGGGACTTCCTTCCCCCGGGAACGGGGCTGGGAGATTCCCTCAGGAAAGGCCAAGCCCCACCTTCCCGTTCCCGGCCCCGGAGTGCTTTCAGGCCCGTGTCCTAACACGCCCAGCGCCTGCAGGTCTCAAAGCTCCGAGGATTTTCAGGTTGGGCCAGTGGTCCAGGCTGGGGAGAGGGGAGTTGTACGGTTGTGCAGGTTGCGACCTAAACAAGGGCCGGGTGGAGGGGTTAAAAGTCTTGGGCCTTGGCAGGTGCTGCTCTTTCTGGAGGGAAGGCCAGGGGCACCTTTTCTCACAAAGGGTCCGAATGAGCAAGTCTGGACTGCCCTTGATTTAAGGCTGCTGACTGTAGACAGGGGAGAGCAAATGGCTAGAATTGGCTTCTGTGGCTCAGGGGCAGGGCTAAAGAGAGCAGGAGGACTCTCATGGCTCAGGACACTGACAGTTCTACCAATTGAGCTTCCCTGGTTCCTTCTTCCTGAATTCTCCTCCCATCCTGATCCTGTTGTCCAATCCACTAGCAAAGTTTGTCCCTTCTGTCTCTAAGATATATCTTGGATCAGCCCCTGCTCCCCACCCCCCTCCAGCGTCCAAGCCCCTCTTCCCTCCTTGTACAACTGCAAAGGCTCCTGTCTGCCCTCCTGGCTCCCCGACAGTCAACTCACACAGATTCCAGGGGGACACTGTTAAAAATACCAATCATAAAAAAAGTCAGAGCATGTCACTCCCTGTTTAACAACTTTGCATAGCTTCCCTTGGAGGAAGGCCCCAGTTTCTTACCCTGGCCCCTGCCTATGCTGACTTCTCCTAGATCATTCTCCCCTCTGTCCAGATGCTGCTCACACTGGCTGTCTTTCTGTTCCTTGAACTTGACAAGTTTTTCCCACCTCTGGCTTTGGTCTTGCTGTTCCCTTTGCCTGGAACCGTCTGCCCAGACCCTTCACAGGGATGTCACCTCCCCACACTGACACAACAGTACAGCAGCCTCACATCCAATTGCCTTATCTACTGTGTCACTTAACCGTGTCTCTTTCTTCAGGACTTAATGGCTTTCTGTAATTATCGTCTTTATGCACTTGGTTTGTGGTCCGTTTCACTTACCAGAATGCAAGCTTGATGAATGCAGGTGTCTTGTTCTCTGCTAGCACAGTGCCTGGCACAAACCTAGGAGGTGCTCAACATACTTCATGCAGTTAAGGAATGCAGGAGTCCCTGGGGAATGAATTGGCTACTCATCCATTCGATCACTTCTAAGGGGGCCACTCCCTGGGAGAAGCCAGCTGCAAACCCCTGTATTCACCTGTGTTTCACCCAAATGCCTCATATATGGACAGGCCTGTGGTTTCCAATATCAATAAACTTAACAGCCAAGACTTACTGAGCATTTACCATGTACCAGGCATTATTCTGAGTGCTTTACGTGGCTTAACTAATTTAATTTGTACAACAAAGTAGATACTAATATCCTCAGTTTACAAGCAGAGACATACTAGGACACACACAAGAATGCATCATAAGCACTGAGTTGATTATCATTGTACAACAGATGGGTGAATTGAGTAAATACACAGGTGAGCCTACTTCAGGAAGGTGGAACAGATCAGGAGGACAGAGCATTAGGGGAGAATCAGCATGGGGGATGTGATGGGGGACACTGGGCTGGTTTGGGCAAGTGGGTAGAAGAGGAAGTGTAGGGCCACGGGGCATGCTCCTGCTCTGGGTCCCCACAGCACTCAGGGGTGCAGCTGTGGTGCAGGGGCGAGGGCCTGGGTCCGGTATTCTGCCACCCACCAGAGGGCAACCACTTACCCGCTTGGGGCCACATTAGCAAAATGCTGGGGAAGGCTTACATAACACCTAACTGCCAGAGCCGTCACCAGGATTAAATTTAAAAATGCTCATGAAAGTGCTTCATCAGCTGCAGAGGGCTGCTGAGGGAGGGGAGTAGGGAAAGGGTGCAGGCTGCTGGCCTGAAAAGCTGGCATTAGAGCCATACTTTGGCTCCTCTTGCGTCAGTCCCCTACTGTGTGCCCCTCCAGGGTGGACCAGGGTCTACCAGTTGTTTTCCGTATGTGGCTGGCACGGAGTTTGTACTCAATGGGTGTTTGTTGAGTGAATACATGTGTTTGTTGAGTGAATGCCTGAGTGCGGGAAAGACCTGGGGAAGGGTAAGAGAGGGAAAATAAATACATAAGTGAAAGATGGAGGAAATGAAGAAGGGACTGGGGATGCCATCTGCCTCTGAGCCTCAGATTCTTCATCTGTAAAAGACCATGGTAAGGCTTGGGTCTCTAGTGTGGATCTGATGAGTTGTGGCAGGCCCATGGAGGCCACCCCTTGCTGTCTATGCTGGGCTGAACTGACCACTACTCCCCTCCCCCACATCCCCGTCCCCCGGAATTTATAGATTGCTCATTGTCCTGCACAAAGGCCCTCTTGGGGAGGAGGCGGGGTGGGTGAGGAGACTGGGGAATTAAAAAGTCAGAGGCTGAGTAACAGCCAGCCACACCCGAGGCCCCATAAATCTTCCTAGGCTCCCTGTAAGGTGGATTTGCTCTGTCCTCACCCAGAGCGGCTTGCAGGACTCCTGCTGCCTGGAATCAGCTCGGAAGCCTCGAGGTCACCACCACGGTGGAGGTGTGGAGACCTGAAGACGGGACCCTGACCATGGGGGAGGGGTGGATCCTATTGTTTTATCCCTGTGGCATCAGAAAATCCTTCCTCCCATCCCGCTCCACTCCCTTACACGTCCCTGTAAGTCTAGCCCATGGCTGTTGGGACTGAGCAGAAAAATTAGCTTTCTGTGGGTATTCTGAGTTCCTTGGTGAGGGGGGCCTGGAGGTCCAGACTCTGGGAAAGCAGCCGCCTCCCCCACTCGGCCGCTCAGGGAGAGGAGAACTGGCAGATGGTGCAGTGTTAACAGATGACAAGAAAACAGAATTACTCAGCCGCTCCGTCCCTCATGTTCGTGGAACGGATGGCCTTCAAACTGGAAAGAGACAATGGTGTCAATTGGGAGGGCTGGGGAGGAAGGGGAGAGAGGGAAGCTGTGGGGCATGGGGGGCCTGCAAACCAGCACACGGAAGACCGGCTTGGAGTCCCACTCACCAGTTGGGGGATCTCCAGCAGGTTGGTTAACCGCTCAGAGTCTGCGTTGCCTCATCTATAAAACAGGTCGACGAAAAACCCTGTTGTACCTTCTCACTGGCTTTTATGAAGATAATGTGGATTTTTCTCTTTATAAAACTGGGCTTTATGACTTGTGAAGGTGTCAACATATAAGAGGTTACTTATAAACTATAAGTGCCAGCCCCTTAGGTGTTTGTAGAATCATTTTTTTTTTTTTTTAAAGATTTTATTTATTTCACAAAGAGAGCACAAGTAGGCAGAGCGGCAGGCAGAGAGAAAGGGAGAAACAGGCTCTCCGCTGAGCGGGGAGCCCAACACGGGGTTTGATCCCAGGACCTTGAGATCATGACCTGAGCTGAAGGCAGCCGCCCAACCAACTGAGCCACCCAGGTGCCCCTGTAGAATCATTTTAAAAACTCTTTTCCCTACAACAAAATGGAAGAGAATAGAAAATATCACGTGGATCACAACATTATGTAAAACTTTTGCTTTTACTTCTGTGGATGTTCTTGTGTCCTGGAGCCAGAGGTAGATGTATTTTACTGTGGGTTATGGTCCAAAAAGTTTGAAATATTCCAAGTGGAGGGAGTTCTTTCATGGTATCTCCAGAATGGAAAGGTGCATAGATGGAAATTAACAACAAGAAATGCACCAGGAGAAAAATAAATGGAATGGGCCTTGGGCTATGGAACCCCAGGGTGGGGAGACCTGGTTCTGAGTAGCTCAGTGCAACTAAGATTGGCGGGGGTGGGGGGTGGGGTGGGGTGGTGGTGGTGGTGGTGCTACTTAGGACCTACCAGACTGCCCTCTTGATGGGTAACAAGAATCTCTTTGCTTTGTAGGATGCCTTGGGCTTGAATCATGAGGACACTGTCCCTGAACGCCTACTAGGCCATGGCCACTGCTCCCTCAGCATGGCCCTGAGCTGAGCCAAAGAGAGGGGCTAGTCAGTGAGAACCTTGGACTCCTGTGCTTGGGCCCTTCCCCCCAACAAATCCACCAACAGTGCAACAGGTATGATGTAGTGGTAATCAGGACCCTCCTGCCTGAACTTCACCCATGACCCTCATCCCCACCTCCACCCCAAGGGCCATAGTCCAGTGGGGGTGAACTAGTCAGAGGGGGCCCTAAATCAATCCCAGACTTCCCTGGCTGGCATTGAGTTATGAGCTGTGGGTTTTGTGATGTAGATCATGGTAGGGGAGGAGGGGGCATGACCTATGGCAGGTCACAGGGGACCTCCAGAAGGGGCCAGAGCTGGGGGTCAGAGGTCACCTCCTCCATTCTCCATCCCACTGTGCTGGGTCCCATCCCATGTCTAGTCCTTAAGCGGGGGTGGGCCTTTTCCCACTGCTGCCCCCAGCTGTACCTGCCACCAGGCCTGTAGGTTGGGAGTAGGGGCCTTGTCCTGGAAAAAGATCCTGGAAGAAAGGCAGAGGTTGAGAGGACAGTACATTTGGTTCCCTAACAGTGACTGGCCTCTGCTGCAAACTTGACTCAGGAGTTTGCCGAGCTCTTTCTCTGTAGATTTGTCATTGCACTTTCCCCAGATCTCCCCCTTCCCTTCTGATTGAACTCCACAAGGCAAGACTCCTACAAACCCCAGCCCAAAGCATTAGATGGCTGGAGATATGGCATGACATCAGAGACAAGATAGGGAGAGAGAGAGAGAATCGAGCTGGTGCTCCAGACAATGCATGTTATCGGGCCTTAAGAGAGATTGTTAGAGGGATAGAAAGATGGAAAGATCCAGACAGTGAGATGAGAAAGATCAAAACCAGAAAGATGGAGAAGAGAAGTCGGGCAGACAGAAATAAGACAGATGGAAGGCAGTGAAGAGATCGAGATTGAAGGGAAGTTGGAGTGGGCAAGAAAATAGCATTCTGGTGCACTCCTATCAGAATCCAGCAGCTAAGAGATCAAAAGGAGGATAACCCTCGCTGTTAATCCTTAAGACCGCCACACTGAGACTCTAGAAGGCCCTGACTGAAATGTACCCATAAGGCCCAGGATGTGATCCATTATTTTATGCATTAACTAGCAACCTCTAGTCCCCCTCTACCACAATCATCCCTATCAACAAAGACATACACAGTGAGGGTCAAGACCCAGCCTGGGGAACTGGACAAGGTAGGTGGGGTGGGAAGGGACCAACATACAGTCTGCCTGAGGACAGAGGATGGGACAGGGCACCAGAAGCGAGCATTGCTGCAGGTGAAGTTAGAAGAAACCTTACAAACCTTCTGGTACCCAACCAGGTTGACTAAAGCTGATCTACAAAAATAATTCCCCATGTCTATCATGCTTTGGGACCAAAAATGGTCCCGGTCACCCTCCTCCTGTGCACCTGCCCTGCCAAGACCTTGCCCCTGCATCCAACCCTAGGACCCTCTGCTATAGCCTCCACTCTGTGGGGATGCTCTCCCAATTCCTGCCCAGGGCTGCCACCTGCTGGCTGAGAGTGGCCTTGCAGAACAGGATCCTTGCTGAGGCTGGGGGTGCTCTAGGCTTGGAGGCAGATCATTTGAAAAGCAAAATGTGAAATTCCCTTTTACCTAGTTAGATGTCCTTGGGGCCTCTCAGCACAGATTAAAGTCCCTTATCCCTCTACAGTCGTTGCTGAATGGTACTGGGCGCGGGAGGGGGAGGGGGTTGGTACTCTTCGGGCCAGAGGAGAAACTGTCAGGCAACTTCCCATTCACTGAGTGGCCAACACTGTGCTAGATGCTGGAGACAAAGATGATCAAGGTGAGGGAAACAGCCAAGAACAAGATTAACGATAACTCATGTGGGCAGTCAAAGTATGTGCCTGACACAGAGCAAGTTTCCGTTCGTAGTTACTGAACAAATGAATAAGTGAGTGAAGTTCAGAGGTACACTGAGAAGTGATGAACTCTGTGTACAAGAGAGGTTGGGGGGGGGTTGCCTGGCTGGCTCAGTCGGTAGAGCGACTGAGGGTCATGAGTTTGAGCCCCAAGTTGGGCGAGGAGCCTCCTAAAAAAAAAACCCTACTATTTTTTGTTTGTTTTGTTTTGTTTTAAAGATTTATTTATTTGAGAATGAGAGAGAGAATGCACGTGCACTACATGCACAAGCAAGTGGGAGGAGGGGCAGAGGGAGAGAATCCCAGACAGATGCCCCGCTGAGTGCCCCACGAGATCATGACCTGAGCCGACAGGAGTCAAGATGCTTAACCGACTGAGCCACCCAGTCGCCCCGCTACTATTTTTTTTTAAGTGATTAAGTGATTACATGGTTCAGCCAATGTTGACAACTACTGTTCCAGTCCTTTCTATGCATTTACATACATGTAAGTTAACCAATCACACACACACACTTCATATATATATACATATATATATGGCTTTTTTCTCTTCAATTAACAACACGTCTCAGAGATATTTTCCAAGCAGTCCATATGGATCTATCTTATTATTTTTCAATGGAGGCATAATCTCGTGTGCATATTTTTTTCAGGCCCTTCCTGTATTGATGAACATTTAAGTCATTTCTAAATTTCGTTTTTACAAGTACAAACAATGCTGCAAAGTATATATAGTGTATCTTTGTTCACATACACAAGTACTGTTTGGGGAAAGATATCTAAAAGCAGAATTTTTGGGTTCATGTGTATGTACATTTGTTATTTTGATAGATACTGTCAAAATGCTTTCCAAAAATACTTCACTAATTTACATTTCCCCAACAGTGTAAGCACTTAATATTATTGTTTGATTTTTACTTAGCTGTTGGGCCAAAAGCAATGTTTCATTCTTGTTTTAATTTGTCTTTTCCTGCTTACTTGTGAGATTAAGCATCTTTTCATATGTATATTGGCCATTTCTTCTATGACTTAATTACCATGTCTTTTCCCCATATTACTAGTAGGTTGTTTTTTAATTACTTAGGATTAGAGGAAATTCTGTTTCCAATAACATGACTGGCTGGACTCTGGACTGATATTTCTGAGTAAAACAGTAAAAATGCTCAGGTGGTGATCTCAGGGTCATGGGAGCCAGCCCCACATCAGGCTCCATACTCTGCATGGAGTCTGCTTGAGTTTTTCTCTCCCTCCCACTCTGCCTCTGCTCCCTCCACCCCTTCCCTCCTCCCCCCTCCCAACATGCCTGCACTCTCTCATTCTCTCTAAAATGAATAAATAAATCTTTTTTTTTTTTTAAAGAATTAATGGGACGCCTGGGTGGCTCAGTCGTTAAGCGTCCGCCTTTGGCTCAGGTCATGATCCCAGGGTCCTGGGATCGAGCCCCGCGTCAGGCTCCCTGCTCCTCAGGAGGCCTGCTTCTCCCTCTCCCACTCCCCCTGCTTGTGTCCCCTCTCTCGCTGTGTCTTTCTCTGTCAAATAAATAAATAAAAAATCTTAAAAAAAAATAAAAATAAAAAATAAAAAAAATTATTAGGTTAAAATCTAAGGGAAGGCAGGATCTCAGACAAGGAAACAAATCAAGGAGTCTGCTTTAGTTTGAAAATATTTGTTGAATTAGGCAAACTTGAGCTTCAATTTCCAGTCTTTTTTTTTTAAGTTTTATTTATTTAAGTACTCTCCATACCCAAAGCGGGGCTTGAACTCACAACCTTGAGATCAAGGGTCTCATGGTCTTCCAACTGAGCCAGCCAGGTGCCCCACAATATCCACAGTCTTTATCTTTGACGGAACCAAGGTGAATTTAATAGATTTCCAAATTTTCCAGTATCGATGAAGGACAAGAATTTATAGGTCCAAAGGCAGGATAGATAAAAAAAAAAAAATCCAAAGAAAGATAATTAGAAATCCATACCTATACATAAGAGCAGGGAGAGGGGCAGAGGGAGAAGCAGGCTCCCCGCTGAGCAAGGAGCCTGATGCGGGGCTCCATCCCAAGGCCCAGGGATCATGACCTGAGCCAAAGGCAGACGCTTAACTGACTGAGCCACCCAGGTGCCCAAAATTCAGGATTTCTTTCAGTGAAGCTCACCACAGATAAAGCTAACAGAAATGTACGTAGTACAGTTGCGACATCTAAAACCCATTTGACAATGGGTTTATTATCTAGAATATTAAAAGGAATTCCTGGAAAAGCAATAAGAAAAAGATAGGAAAACAACAGAACATCGGACAAAGGCTAGGAACAGGCAGTTTCCAGGAGGGGACACAAGAAAGGCTCCCAGGTATTTGGAAAGATGCTCACCTTGTTGATAGGGAAAATCCAGTGTAAAATAATGATATTAACTTATAGTTCTGTACCATCAGATTGACAAAAATTAGAAGGCTGAATAATTACAAGCATGGCCATGGATGTAGGGAGGCTCTCATGCATTGCTGGTGGGCACATTGCAAAAGAGAACCATCTGACAGTACCTGGTCAGTAAGCGCATACGTGCCCTCTGGCCTAGCGGTCTCAGACACGCTCTGCCACAGGTCTACTAGACGTGTACAAGGATGTTCACTGCAGCATTATTTGCAGCGGCGGGAAGCTGGAGGCAGCTAGGTGTGCAACACTGGAAGAATAGGTAAGAAAAATCGGATGCATACACACTATGGAACTTCATGCAGCAGGAAGAGGGGGAAGAAAGAAAGAGGTAAAAAGCTACGCCCCATATCTTTTATCAAGAGAGCAAAAATTTTTCCAGGAGCCTCACCCATTAGACTACTGCTTGCATTTCACTGGCCAAAACCATGTTACAAGGTCACACTTAACTAAAACGTGACTAGAGAGAAGGGGGGTCATAGGTAGAGATTGTGTCATCTAAGTAGTGATGTCTTACATGTAATCTAGTGGATTTCTTCTCGTTGCTGCACAGAATTCCATAGCATGCATTCACCGCATTTTGCTCTGATGGCTAGAGCTACAGGAGCCATCTTGTGGCCACGAGGAGAAGTCAAGAGACTCCCCAGAGAAGGCCCTGCCACCGTCCGTTTATATCAACACCAACAGCTTATCCCTGAACTCCTTAATCTTGTGTGAAGAATAAACTCCTAGTTGGTTAAGCCACGTGTGGCAGTTAGGGTTCCACAGGGGGCAACAGAAATAGATCTGGCTAGTGTAGACATAAAGAAATGGGGAAACAGGTTCTAGGTTCAGAAACAACTCCCAGCTTTGAGAGGCACATGACCTGTATCCGTGACTGGGAAGCAACAGTCACTCCTGGAGGAAGCTGATGAATCAGGAAGCTGCTCACCAGAGCCCCGCTACATCTGTCCTGATCTGTGACAGCAAAACAGATGTCCCATGGTATTCAGCTCTGTTCCAAATGCACGTCTTGCACAAGAGCAGAACCTAAATCACAGATTCCTAGCTCAAGGGAATCGAGGAAGTGTCATCTTGGTTTTTCCAGCTTCTGTAGTTCAGAAGAAACACTAAAAGGAGTTTTGGATTGATGTTGGCAGCCACCACACCACTGAGGCCGGCTTTCGGTTACTGACAACCACAGATGCTCCTAACAGATACACTGCGCGGACAGCAACAGGGGGCCATCTCCGAAACAGCGCGGAGTGAAAAAAGCAGAATGAGTTCTGTCACACAATTCTAGGGTGCTGGTTAAAACATACATAAACCACAAAGAGGAAGGGAGGGAAAAATAAAATAAGATGAAATCAGAGAGGGAAACAAATGATAAGAGACTCTTAACTCCAGGGAACAAACTGAGGGCTGCTGGAGGGGAGGTCGGTGGGGGGATGGGGTAACTGGGTGATGGCATTAAGGAGGGCACTTGGTGTAATGAGTACTGTAAGGGATGAATCACTAAACTCTACCTCTGAAACTAATTTAAAAAAATACATAAACCAACACTACCTTTTTTATTTTTTATTTATCTTTTTAAAAGATTTTACTCATCTATTTGACAGAGAGAGAGACAGCGAGAGAGGGAACACAAGCAGGGGGAGTGGGGGAGGGAGAAGCAGCCCCCCCCCCCCCCCCCCCCGCGAAGCAGGGAGCCCGATGAGGGGCTTGATCCCAGGACCCTGGGATCATGACCTGAGCCAAAGGCAGACGCTTAACCACTGAGCCACCCAGGCGCCCCAACACTACCCTTTTTAATGCAATGTACCTTTTTAAGAATATATAAGTGCCAATTGGTAAAGGGAAAGGGGAGAAAAATGGGCTGTGGGGATTAGGGATGAAAGAGATAAGCCAAATAAGGTAAAATAAAAAAAGATCTTGTACATGCTGATGATGGGAGTGATACAAACAGAACACAGTTGGCCCCGTTTTCTACACCTGAGGTCCAAAACTGATCCATTAAATTTAATTTTAGTATTAATTTAATTAAAAGGATGATTTAATAATTATTAATAAATAATTGTAAATAATTTAATTCAATTATTGTAATTTTAATGCAATTTAAATATTCCATACTTAATTTACCATACCAAAACTAGTCCATGAAACTTATTCTTTCGTAACTTCTGTACTCCTAATTAGGCAATTCACCTCCCCCCAGTCCCAGCCGCTATTCAAAGAGATGTCTGCACTCGCACCTTCTCCTTCCACCACCCCGGCTCCACGGAAGGGAAAGGGATTTCAGGACTTCAGGCTTACGCGGGCGGGTCGGGACCCCTCACGACCCTCCCACCTCCGAAGGGTGTGTTTCTGGTGCGGGAAGCAGAAGGTGAGCGTGTTGGGGGGCGGTGTCGTACCCGAGAGCCGCCTCCGCAGGGGAGGAGCCTCCGTGATCGGGCCCCGCCCACTCAGGGCAGGCTCTCCGTGATCGGGCCCCGCCCACTCAGGGCAGGCTCTCCGTGATCGGGCCCCGCCCACTCAGGGCAGGCTCTCGGGCGGGTCCCGGTCTCTGGGAGCGGAGAGCGCCCGCCCCTGCCGGCCCCGCGTCCGCTACTGACCCGGCTTGATCCAGCTCAGCCGCCGGGTGTTTGCCACAGCTCTTTCCCTAAGTCCAGCCATCTGTTACCTGCCTTGCTTCCTGGGGAGAGACAGCCCCCCTCGGGCCGCCCCGGAGATCTGGCGAGTGTGCTCCCAGGAGTCTGGGGGTGCTGGGGCCCCGGCAATGACCGCCTCCTAGGGAGCCTCCACACCCGGGTAAGGTCCCTTGGGAAAGAGAAGACCGCCCCTCTCCTTGACTCTTAACTGGGATCCTCACAGCGAACCACTTCTGCCCTCTTAGGGCTCCTGCCCACAGCTTGTCTTCTCTTGGGTGGGTGGGCTGCTGGGCCCCTTCCCTGGGACGCAGGGAGACACTGTTCCCCTCCATTCTGTGTTATAGATGCTAGCCGCGTGAGGCGGAGGGACGGGCCTTCTTGCCCCCCCCCCCCTGGGCTGGAAGAGGAAGAGCGCCCAGGGGAGGGCTGGGCATGTCCGAGGCATCGTCCTGCCCCGCCGGCCAGGAGACCCCTGCCCCAGGCTGCAAGCTAGGCGCCTTGTACTGGGCCTGTGTCCGCAATGACCCTGTCCAGCTCCAAGCCACGTTGGACGGTGGGGTCTCCCCAGAAGAGGCCACCCAGGTGGATGGCAACGGGAGGGTGAGCTACCCCAGGTGTTTCCCAGGGCAGCGAGAGCAACTGTGTCCCCGCCACAGGACATTCATCCAATGCCTGGATCCTTGGGAGGAAGGGAGGGGGTGAGGGTGGGTCTAAACAGAGGCTGGGACATCTCTGGGATGGATGTGGGTTTAGAGGGCCCCACAGGGGCCCCAAGGAGATCCTGGAAAAAAGCGCAGGGGCTGAGCTGCCCCTCCCCCAGACAGGTCTCATGGTTGCCTGCTACCGTGGCTTCCAGAGTGTGGTGGCTCTGCTCAGCCGCTGCCCTTTCCTCGATGTGAACCAGCAGGATAAAGAAGGGGACACAGCCCTCATGCTGGCTGCCCAAGCAGGTGAGAGACTGTTGACCTTACCTTCCACCAGTTTCCCCCACTTCAGACAGGCCCACAATCCCATACTTTCTGTCTAACTTTCTCCCACCACAGGGATTGTTGTGTTTGGTGGAGGGTGGGTTTGGGGCTTCATCACCCTCTTTCGGGGAGAGCTAAGCTCAGTGCTTGGTGCCCTGCAGGCCATGTGCCTCTGGTGAGTCTCCTGCTCAACTACTACCCGGGCCTGGACCTGGAGCGCCGAGACCAGCGGGGGCTAACAGCACTGATGAAGGCCGCCGTGCGGAACCGTTCGGAATGCGTGGCTGCCCTCCTCATGGCAGGTGCATGGGGCCTGGACTGGGATTTGCGACCTCCAGTCCCTCCCCAAGCCTTCCAGCCTGACACTAAGTCAGCTGTATGGTTACAGAGAAAAGAGAGGTGGAGATTGAGGATCAATCTAGGCTGACTTCCTGGAGGAGGGGAGTGTGCTTGAGCTTCTCACAATCAGCAAAGTCCAGCTATTGATATCTCTGTTTACACCATGAATGTTGGTCTCAGAAAAGAAAGCTTGGGAGGATAACCTAGACCAGCTGGAAAAACAAAAAACGCTGATATCTGGAACCAGACTCTTGGGTTCTAGTCCTGGCTCTGCCACTAGCTGAGTGACCCTGGGCAGATGCCTTCCCTCTTTGGGCCATAGCAGTATAATGAGGGTGTTGGCTTTCTCTGGGATGACTTCCGTTTCTGACAAGCCAGGGTTCCAGGGACACGATGATATGTAGTTGAGGCATGTGGCCACCTGGAGTTGTTCTGGACTGAAGTCCACACTGCTCATGAAGTCTTGGACCTTCACTATTTCCTGAGGTGGGGTTGCCATCTGTTGGTCACCCTGGGGAACCCCAGCCTCCAAACTCTTCCTTTCCCTATCCCATCTGACTGTGTTTGGGGTGAGAAAGGAGAAAACTCAGCAACGTCCCTTTATCCCAAAGTGACTGCTATTCCCCCACCCCAGATTAGAGGGGTGTGGTGATGAAGAGAAGGATGAGGAGTGAGGGCCCACAGGACCCCCCTCCACCTGCCCAGCAGGTGCAGCTCAGGCCTCCCCTGTCCTGGGCAACCTGCCCACCACTCCTTCCTTGGCTCAGGAGGTTCCTATTCTGCTCCAGGTTTGGAGACACCCCCCGCACCCACCCCGCCACCAGGTCTCTGAAGTCTTTTCCACTCTCTGGACTTTCCATTTTCTTCTTTTTTTTTTAAGGATTTTATTTATTCATTTGGGAGAGAGAGAGAGATGGAGAGGGAGAGCACAAGCAGGGGGAGTGCCAGGCAGAGGGAGAGGCCCGGTGCGGGGCTTGATCCCAGGACCCTGAGATCATGACCTGAGCTGAAGACAGATGCTTAACTGACTGAGCCTCCTGGGCGCCCCTTCTTCTTTAGCCTTAAATAGATGTTGGTATCTGGGGCTGGTACTGTCCCTGAGGCTGTATCGGCTGATGGCTCCCAGATTCCAGCTGCAACAGGATGGGACTCTGTGGTTTTTAATCTAACCCAAATCAGTCCTGCTGCAAAAGAATCTGCCCTTCTGGGGCGCCTGGGTGGCTCAGTCTGTTAAGCACCTGCCTTGTGCTCAGGTCATGATCTCAGGGTCCTGGGATCGAGTCCCACATTGGGCTCCCTGCTCCGTGGGGAGCCTGCTTCTCCCTCTGTCCCTCCTCCCGCTCATGCTCTCTCTCTCAAATAAAAAAAAAAGAATCTGCCCTTTTGCAAGTCACCATTCCCTGTCCCATCCCATGTCACTCCTGTGCCCCCTCCCAGGTGCTGACCTGACAGCGGTGGATCCTGTTCGGGGCAAGACAGCCCTAGAGTGGGCACTGCTGACTGACAGCTTCGACACCGTGCAGAGGATCCGGATGCTGCTGCGGCGCCCCCAAATAGAGCAGCTGAGCCAGCATTACCAGCCCGAGTGGCCAGCCTTGCCTGGGCTTGTGGCTCAGGCCCAGGCCCAGGCCCAGGCCCAGGCCACCCCATCTCTCCTAGAGCGACTGCAGGCCACCTTGAGCCTCCCCTTTGCCCAGTTTCCTCAGGAAGGGGGTGTCCTGGACCACCTCGTGACCATCACGACCAGCCTGGCCAGTCCCTTCCTCACCACGGCCTGCCACACCCTGTGCCCTGACCAGCCACCTGCGCTGGGCACCCGCAGCAAGTCTGTGCCAGAGCTGCTAGGCACTGCCCCGCCCCCTACCCCAGCCCCCCAGCCCCCCCAGGTAGTCCCTGGCTCCCGGGTCCTCATCCCCTACCAGAGCCATGAGGGCGTGCTGAGTATGTGCCCTCAGTGGCTACAGCCTAGGGACAGTAGCAGCCCCAGGCCCCAAGCCCCCAAGATCCGCCTCTCCAAGGCATCCTCATCTCCCACACAGTACAAGCTACAGCCCACGCCTCGAGAGAATCGAAGGCTAGCCCTTCCTGTCTGGAGATACCAGGAGCTCAGGATGGAGAGGAGGAGGCAGGAGGAGGAGGCTAGGTGGGCACAGAATTAGGGGAAGATGGGCTAAGGCCAGGCTGGGAGCAGGTGATCAGGTCCCTCCCTAAGGCTCCTTCACCCTCTAGAGTCCTTCTGCTTTCCCATCCATCTCTGTACAAATGATTCTACCCTAACCTCCTTAGGGGGTTATTCATACAGCATTGTTTGCAACCGTAAGAGTGAAAACAGCCTAAGCATCCATCAACTTAGCCGGGGGACTAGCTAAATTGATTATGGGTGTGATTACCGTACATCCATATGATGTATTCTATAGAGTGGTAAAACAAGATTAAGGAAGCTCTTTATGTTCTGATATGAAACTATCTTCAAGATGTATTAAGCGTAAATAATCAAGGGGTGGAACAGCGTGTATGACATGTTACTATTTGTCAAAGTAAAATTTACACCAAGATAAACTTGACTAATACAAACATAGAGTGAGTACCGGGATGTATTTAACTACTAAGTGAATGAAGGATTGAAGGAGGGGAAGGAAAAACCATTACTGACAGTGGAGAGAAGAATGCTTGAATGAGATTGGAAAGGTAGGTACAAAAAAGTTTAATTCCTACCTGGCAATAAAACCATCACTTTTGGGGTGCCTGGGTGGCTCAGTCGTTAAGCGTCTGCCTTCAGCTCAGGTCATGATCCCAGGGTCCTGGGATCGAGCCCCACATCGGGCTCCCTGCTCGGCGGAGAGCCTGCTTCTCCCTCTCCCACTTCTGCTTGTGTTCCCTCTCTCACTGTCTTTTTCTCTGTCAAATAAATAAAATCTTTTTTAAAAAAAAAAGATCACTTTTTTGTTCTGCCAGATAAAAATAATTTGCTATTTATCAATCTTCTACAGCTTAACCTCTTAACTTTATATAGAGTCTGGGCCCTAATCAATAGTAAATAGTATGTCAGACAAAATTACTTCCCCTAGATGACCCATAGGTGGGGTTATTAGCCAAAAATATCTTGAAAAGGCACTTAGTAATTTTTTGTGTGTGCCTTATTTACAATTTTTTCCCTCAGGTTTTTTTTCTTTTTTTTTTTTTTAAGATTCTATTTTTAACTAATCGTCACACCCAAGGTGGGGCTCAAACTCACAATCCTGGGATCAAGAGTCGCGTGCTCCACCAGCTGAGCCAGCCAGGCACCCCTGGGTATTTTTTCTTAACATGTTTGCTCCATAAATACATTTGCTTGTTTATTTGTAATAATAAAAGCAACCATTTATAAGGTGCTTACTATATACATTAATACATTTAACACTCCCAATAATCCTATGAGGATTATATCTTTGAGGACAAAGGACACAGAGAAGGTAAGGAACTGCCTGGAGTCACACAGCTAGAAACTGGCAGAGATCAAGATTGAGAGCCAGCCATCTAGTTATGGAGACCAGGCTCCACACTGGAACCCTGCTGCCTCACTGGAACCTCTCTGGGAAGAAACGTGGCCACTTGCTCGGGAAGATGACTGAGCAACTTGACCAAGGGCAAAAGGGAAACTTTACACTGAATATCTTTTTGAAACTTTTGACTTTTTAAAAAATCAGCTTTATTTTTTAGAACAGTTTTAGATTTACAGAAGAGTTGTAGAGATGGTGCAGAGTTCCCATACACCCCACACTCAGTGATCTCTGTTGTTAACGTGAGTAAAGTACATGTGTTACAATTAGTGAACCAATATAAATACATTATTACTCAAGTCTAAACTTTATTCAGATTTCCCCTAATGTCCCTTTTCTGTCCAGAATTCCATCCACAATACCACATAACATTTAGTTGTCATGTCTTTGTAGATTCCTCTTGACTGTAATGACCAGGTTTTCCTTGTTTCTGATGACTGTGACGATTTTGAGGAGTACTGATCAGGTATTTTGTAGAATATCCCTCAATTGGGATTCGTCTGATGTTTTTCTCATGATGAGACCGGGGTTATGGGCTTTCAGGAGGAAGACCACAGAGGTGACACACCATTCTCATCACATCCCATCCCATGATGGGTACGTGCTATGAACGTCACGGTTGGGGGAACCTCGATCACCTGGCTGAAGTAGTGTTTGTCAGGTTTCTCCCTGTGATGTCACTCTTTCTTCCCCCTTTGTATATCGTGCTCTTTGGAAAGAAGTCATTGCATGAAGCCCACACTGAAGGAGTGGGGAGTTACATTCCATCTTCTTGGGGGTGGAGTATCTATATAAATTACTTGGAATTATTCTGCACAGAACATTTTGACTTTTTAGTCATGTATTTCTAAATTTTGAAAAATTAAAAAATAAACCTGTTGTTTGAAGAGGGGAAAGCACGCAGACACACTTAGGTGACAATGACTATTTGGGTTAGATGGTGTGTGATTTCTCCCAGAGGGTTTTTTTTTCTTTTTTAAAGATTTATTTATTAGTTTGAAATAGAGCACCCGAGCACGAGTCAGGGGAGGGACAGAGGGAGAAGGAGGGAGAGAAGCAGACTCCTGCTGAGCGCGGAGCCTGTTGCAACACGGGGCTCGATCCCAGGACCCTGAGATCCTGACCTGAGCTGAAACCAAGAGTCAGCCGCTCAGCTGACTGAGCCACCCAGGCTCCCCTTTGCTGGAGGCTTCTGAAGGCAACTATGGTGGCCTGGAATGGATTCAAGGCTAGTTTACCATTTCCTACCTCTGTGAATAAGGCACTTAAGTTCCTCTTGCCTCTGTTTTCTCATCTGTTAGTGGGGGAAGACAGGGTTTTAGGAAAGATCCATTAGATAATCTGGGTTAGAAGTTCCTATAAACTGTAAAGTGCTACCAAGATTTGAGGTGCTATGGAAGGGTCCTGGGGAACTGAGTTTGACTGAGCTGTTTCTGGGCCTTTGGGATGGAGCTTGAGTTCTTTCCTCCCATCGAAGACAGGGAAAGAAACTACATTTGCAGGCTTGGAACAGCATAGTGGTTACCCGCTTCAGCCTGGGAGCCAGGTGGTGACCTTGGGCAAGTCACTGAGCCTCTCTGAGCCTCCAGGCTCTCACGCATGCAGTGGAGGTAACAATAACCTCAGTCAGCATGGGGCCGCTGGGAGAATTCAGTGAGCTGGTGGAGCACTGCACTGTCCTGGCCTCAGCATCACCATTAACCTATTGAATCCTCAGGAGCTTCCTATTTTTTTTTTTTTTAAGATTTTATTTATTTGACAGAGAGAGACACAGCAAGAGAGGGAACACAATCAGGGGGAGCGGCAGGCAGAGGGAGAAGCAAGCTTCCTGCAGAGCAGGGAGCCCGATGCGGGGCTCGATCCCAGGACCCCGGGATCATGACCCGAGATGAAGGCAGACGCTTAATGACTGAGCCACCCAGGCACCCCATGACCTTCCTATTTTATAGTCGAGGAAACAGACCATGATTAAGCGACTTGCCCAAGGTCACCAGCTGGTAGGGGCTAAGTGACACTTGGAGTTCAAGTCTGTGGACCCTGACACCTGTGTCCTTTCCAAGGCAGCGCATGGCCTCTGCCCACAACCAGGGTGCCCGGGCTCTCTGAGCCACTCCCTGCCACGTCTAACGGGCCTGAGTTGTCCTAGGGCGCAGGGGTGACCTTGGCATCTTCAGGACCAGAGAACTAGCCCTCCATGCCTCTCCCTCCTGGCCAGTGTGGGCTGGATCTGGGCTGGGGGAGTCAACAAGCAGGCAGTCATCCCCCAGCAGAGGCAACCTCTCCACCTTGGAGAGCCACCGTCCATGCCTGGCCATCCTGGGGCAGCTCGAGTCCTAGACCTGCAGTCCCACAAGTGCTCCTCCCAGGCCAAGCCTTTTGTCTCGAATCCACTAACAGCTTCTGACAGCCTTTCAGCTTCCAGAGAGGAAAGAAGTCAGCATGGGCTGCTCTACCTGTGCCCTCAAATATCCCAGCTTCTCCACCAACATCCCAGCTTTGCCACAACATCCCAGCTTCTCCACCAACATCCCAGCTTCGCCACCAACATCCCAGCTTCTCCACCAACATCCCAGCTTCTTCGCACGCCAGCCCAGCTCCTGCAGCTCCACATGGAGTCCCTGTCAGCCGAGGCCAAGGACTCAGGACCGGGTCCCTGGCTGTGCAGAGCACGCCACGGCAGAAGCACCCTGCTCAGGCCAGCACGTGGGTTTGGATCCCGGCCCTGCCTCCGACCATCTCTGTGACCAGGGACCGCTCCCAGCCTCCGTCTCTTCATTCGTAACATCCAGCGGTGATAATGTATAATCTCTACTTCCCAGGGTTGTCCTGCAGCCTATGCAGGGAGAGGTATGTGGGCACCGAGTGTGGCCCCGCCAACAGCCAGCACCTGGTCAGCAGCAGGTTTTGTTACTGGGCTGATCTGCAGGCGTGTGGCCAAGGGGCCGGCTCTGTGGAGGAGGCCAGCGGACATGTCCTGGGAACCCTGTGGCATCCTCCGTGATTCCAGGATTCTACTCTGGTGGGCCCTGAAGTGGAAACACGTGCTCATCCCAGACAGTGTTCTCAGAGCGGCTCCTACAAGCTCTGCGAGCCCAGGGCACTCCCAGCCCGCCGCCCACCCCCACAGCACTGAACGCGGGCCGGCCTGCTCCCCGCATGGGCCTGTCCGCCCTCACCCTGCCCAACAGGGGCTCCTACAGAAGGGACTGAAAAGTTGGCTTTCCGGACACACTGGGATGTCTGCGAGGCTTGTGAGGACTCCTGGGACAGCCTCCCCTCCCTCCTGCATGGGCAGAACCTGGGTCTGTCTCCCTAGTCCCTGGCTCTGCGCCCAGCCCGTACAGGTTTAATAAATGTGTGTAGACAAGAACTGAGTTCAGGCTCCACCAAGGTCTGGGATGCTTAGAGGGCCCTTTATCATCTCCTTCCTCCTCATAACGGCTGTCCTGGTCCAGGAGCCACGGTGTCCCCAGTCATCCCAGGCCATGCCCCAGAAAAGTCCTGCTGGGCCAAGAGAAGGCAAGGAAGTACATATATGTAGGGAGGACAGAGGGACAGGTGGGGACTCATTGGTTTATGTCCCCTTTCTTCCAAACTGGGGCACCTGGACAGGATTCCCTCCCCTCCAGTAGTCACACTTTCCAAACGGTTGGAAACATCCACACATCTTCTACCACACCAACCCCCAGGCCCCGCTTCCCTCCCCACACTTCCCCCCACCCCCCACCCATTCCTCTCCCTGGCCTCTGAGGACATTTCTCCTGTCAGATTTCCACTGGCCTCACTGACAAACCACCTGGCCAGGGTTTCTGCAGACAATCAGAGCTGTTCCTTCTCTTTTCCTCAGAGGGAACCTGGCTCTTCCTGGTTAAGGAAAGTACCACATCTGGAGGGAGGACTAGAGGGCTAGGCTTGGGGCTGGAGAGACTCTGCAGCCTGGATCAGTCACACGGGCAATGTCATGTGCCAACACACAGCCAGCCTGGGTCCCATAGGGCCTTGCAGTCCCCAGGTGCAGAAGTATACACAGGCCCACTGGCCCCCCCACACACAAACACACATAAACCCACCCATCACCGGGACACAAACACACGGACCCACTGACAGGGAAAAATAAAGGCAGGGTTCCCCATCCCTGGGGTCCCATCCCACTCCCCTCCCCGGCCCCTCTGTGCCCCAGCACTCCGCATTCCCCAGCCGTCCAACTCCAGGCATTGCCCATGGGACTGTGCTCCACCCTGTAGTCTGTCCAGCTATTTGGAGTGGGAGTTGGTGGGGGGAGGAGGGACAAGGCTAACCCTGGGGTTCCCCCTTAGACCTCGCTGAAAAGCCATGGTCTCTTGGAGGGAAAGGAGAGGGAAGCAGGTCAAAACCTAAATCCTGCTCTGTGGCTATTTACTCCAGACTCACCTTGGATACCTCCCAACCTCTCTTTCCTACATCTGTGCCCATGATC